CAAGCTTCCCCAAGACAGAGGGAACTAAGAACACGGGATGCTCACTTAAATTATTATTACACAGTTGTTATTGCTGTGCCACCTAGAATAAAAACAATAAAAACCCCACAGGCAGAGCTGGAAACTTAGAATTTAAATTAGTCATTCTAGACCACCCATCTTTTCTTCAAAAGAATATGTATGGGGGGAGTGGGCGAGGGGGAGAGGAGAGAAGAGGGGAAAGAAAGAGACAGACAGACTGACCTTTATACAGCAACATGCACATCTGCTCCCAACCCCCATTCCCAGATCAAAGCTCTTTTCAGTTTGGCATTCTTTAGCATCTTCTGATTTTTCTTTTTAAGGAAAAAGCTCTCTCCCTGGTGGCTGGCATTGTATAAATTAGACAAGAGTTACTGTCAGATGACATTTCATGGCACTTGGGGTTGGGGAGGAGGTGGGTGGGGATCTTCTCTTAGCAAGCTTTAAAAATAAAAAAAGCCTCTGATCTCTAATGATTCCGATTTCTTGGCAAACATTCAACATAAGCAGAGAGACAGAACATGAAAACAGTACCAAGTCCCTGCTCGTGAGTGCAGGAGTCTCATCATGGCAACTTCTGTGCTGCACAGAAAAAAAAAAGTGGCTCCAAGTCCCAAATCCATTTAAGAGTAGATTAAAAAAAATTAACAAAATTTCCAAACAAAGAACGGCAGAATCTCTCCTTAATCAGCATGCCTTGAGCAAGTGCTTGGCCAAGAGGATTTGTTAAACAGGAGATCTTGCTTTAAGAAACAAGGAGGTACAGGGCTGGGTTTGCATTTTCATCCGTCCCGTTTTCCCTGAGCTGTTGGAAAGAAGGGGAAAAAACTGACTAGAAGGAAGATAATCATTTAGGTGCCAGTATCCTCCCTACTCTGGGGGAAAGAGCACAGTGGGAGGGTTTGCTCATTGTCTCAGAAGAAAATTGCAATAAAGCTGGATTCCTAGCAACATTTGATGGGCAGGCACAATTAGCTTCTCCCTAGCAGCTGCTTTGCTTCCATGCTGGGAGGAGCGCGTCTTATTCTGAGAGCCTGAGCTGATCTGACTGAGGTTATGCACGTATTTCTGAGGGGGCCAAGCTTAGGAGATGTCAATAAACCCAGCACTACATCTCAGTAGGTGTCTCCTGACTATGGGGGCTTCTAATCAAAAAGCAGATGAAGGCAGACAAGATCTGCTGTGTGATACAGCAGGTCTATAAAAGGAGAGCACCTCTCCGAGTGCCTGTGCCTTAGCATGAATAGGCAGGGGTCAGGGAAACTGGTCTGGATTGTGCTCCTAATGAAGCCCATGGGAGTTCTACTACAGGTGGCAATGGAAAAAAATTGACCCATATACCAGGATTTGCCCAAGGCATATCCCTGGATGCTTCCCTCACCCCCCCCCCTCTTCCAGCTGTGGGACCTGCTGCCAGATTTTAACAGCTGTCGAGACATATCACTAACTTGTCGTTGAGATGCATGCATCTTGTGCCAAGTCAGCGTGGAGGTTTGGACTGACAGCCCGAAAGAAAATGAAGAAAAATTCCTATGACATACAGGGTGGAAAACACTGAATCAGAAAGGAATCATAGAAGAAAATATGGGGGCAGAGGAAGATTAGCCCTACGCTCGAGCAGAGTGGGTCCTTCCAAACAGCAGTGGCAGGCCATTGCAATACTGATGGAAAAGACAAGAGCCACCTACTATCCCATACACATCCCCTAAACCAAAGCCTTGAGGACTAAAGCCATCTGAAAGGGGCTAGGTCACCACTTGCTTAGAATTACTGAGCTCTCTGAAAGATGCATGGACTGAGAGACAAGCTGGCTTTGGAAGATAGCCCCTCAGTTGCTGACAGGGGGTCTGCCCTGGGTAATTTTGGCACAATGGAGCAAATTCAGACAAAAGACAAATGACTATGTGATGGCATGAATCAAAGCCTTGCAAGCAAAATGGCAAAGAAGTTCAGTGAAAATACAATTGCAGACACATTAACATTACCTTAGGCGGGGGGGGAAAAAAAAAAAAAAAAGAAAGATACATGCAACTAATTAGCATCTGGTCTCCAAAGGGAGCTCAGTTGACTTAAGGGCTATGTACAAAACCAGGCTATTTTACAGCTCTTCAGTACTTCTCCCCATTAACAAAACCATTACTCCACAGAAAGGTCTGCTCTACTGCTCCAGCCCAAACTTGTCAGAAAGGAAGGTTTCTGCAAAACTGACTTCCAGTGCGGCTTGGGTTTTCTGCTTAAAGTAGACGGGGAAGGGAATGACCATTGACAACTCAAAAGCACCTGCACCCCCTTCCTATTTGATCCTCAAAGGAGCATTTCCACAGCCCTTGCCTTCCCACTCCAGCAACAGCCTAACTGGAAACCTTCCCTCCTAAGCTTTGAAGTGTTAAATCATGATCATGCCAGTAACGGGCTGAGACCAAACAACTGGGCTTCGTGATTACGGTTTGTTGAAGATGAAAAGATGGAGGTGTGCGCACATGGGACCTTGACTGGGGCATTTGGGTTGCAAATGAACCAGCTGTCCCCGCACATGATGGGGTCAGCTTTTCTGCTCCTTGTCTTGGGCTCAGACCCAGCCCAATAAGAATAGCACTTGGTTGAGCACAGGAATGCCATTGCATCATGGCACCATGGTGACAGACCATTCATGAGTTAAAAGGGAGAAGGTTCATCAGTAAGGAGCAGAACCAGCTAAGAGCACACCCCTTGCTTAGTGTTTTCAATGAGACACACAGTTGTTCCTCTGTTAACACTCCTGTCATGGGTATGAGCACAGCATCCCCCTCTTCCACAACCACTCCCCTTGCCCCTGGGAGGCCATCAGCTAGGCCACAGGCTGATCTTTGATGCGGCTGTCCTAAACTCCAACTTACAACATCAATCAGAGCAGAAATACCGGGTTGCGGTCTGCATTATCTCAGCTCTTAGTACCCTGCTTGTGATCCATCCACCTGCCTGCCTTCCCTCAGGTGAAAAAGCAGCAGAGACATCTCCTGGCCCACAAACAATGTAATCTCTCAGCTAAGCCATGTCTGACTTGCCTGTAGATGCCTATTATCTTCTCAGTCTAGGTGAGGGCCACCAGAGAACCAAGCCCAGGAGCAGCTTAGGCTACAACAGGTATCCAAACTTCCCTTCCACTACATTTCTCACTCTTCCTGAGGAAATGTTGCAGGACATGAGAGCAAGCAGGGAGGGAAGGAGGCACCAAAATAACTCCAGACACATAGGGCAAAGCTTGCAAACTGAAGTATGCTGTTTATTCATAAGCCTGATAAATATTACAGCCAGCCCCTTGTGTATCAACTGCTCTCCAAGCAGCTTTTGCCACTTAGCTTCCTTCCTTATATATCTTTGATGCCATCTGGGCACCAGTAAATGGGAGCAATGAGCTGTCTGCTTAAGGAGACACCCAGGCTACAGCCCTACAAGCTGTTAAAATGACCTTAGTGGGAAGCAAAGGTGCTTAGCAACCCACCAGTTTGGGCCCTCCTGCAGTGCTCTGGGCAGCTGGGTTTGAAGACAGTTCTGCAAGACTTCTGCATCTAGGTTGTCCAAGGCAAGTTTGGACAAGGTCAGCAACCTGGCCAGGTGCCACCACAGCAGACAAAACAAGGAGGCTGCTTCCTTATGGGATCACATAATGGGTCAAGCTAGTACCAGGATCATGCAGGGATCCCATGGGATTTCTGCTTCACAGGCTGGAACATGTAGGAGGCATCTGAGCAAGCCCTGACCCTGATCTTTTCCACCAGGGGACCTTTCTTCTGACCTTATCTGCACCCAGAGAAAAGGCCATGGAACCTTGACCTAAACCAAAGAAAGAATTTGGACTTTTACAAACAAGGCAGGATTACAGGTCTCACGCTCAGATGATGTCCCCTGTTACTGCAATGCCAGGCTCTGCCCACTAGTCATCATAAGACCAAGCCCCCAGGGAGATGATCCCAAACAGCCTGCTGAGGACAAGACAGGTCTACTTTAACTAGCTCCACACCAGGCCTTGGTTCAGACAGACACACAGATCCATTTGCTGGACAGAGGGCTTCTCAACTGGGGAAAAGCTGGAGGGACACTGGTGTCCAATGCAAGCAACTCCCCCATGCTTCTCTAGCACTGAAAAAACCTTTGTGTAACAAAATGCATCCAAATTAGGAGGTGAGACACGGAAGCGGCTTGGTTGTGCGTTGGTAAGGTTCATGTCTTGAGATGCTGGCTGGAAGACCAGGAGTATTTCATGGAAGAATTCCCATCAAAAGCATTAGGAGGAACAGCAAGTGTTGGGAAAAGGGTATCATGCCTCAGTTGGCATTTCCCTTAGCATGGCTCTGTGAAGTCATCGTCACAAATTAGAAGGTTCTCTTTGCTGCATGGGAGACAAGACTGGAAGACTGAAACCTGAACCCCCAACCTGATGCAGTTCTAAAACATGTCTAAAAGTCACTGGAGCCACAAGCAGTAACACAAAATGCAAACCCAAGAGCCAATGCACTTCAGCTACAAAGTCTTTCTAGCCCTCCAGAAGTACCACACACGGGGAGGAGCATCAGTGAACCTAGTATCCTCCAGGTCTATATGGCATGGGTAGCATCTCTAATCCAACCTCATATGTACCTATGACCTGCAGCAAGGTGGTAGGTGGGGAAGGGGGGCATGGAGAGGGATGGGAGGGGCATTGACATTGCTATGCCACAACCCTGTACACCAGAGGGGGTGATGGGGACAGTCACATGTATACCAGATGCACGTCTGTCTTCTCCAGGGAAGAGAGTCTCAGTCTGGAACAGCAACACTTGCACCTTTTTCTGTGGCAAAGTGCGGTCAGTTCTGGTTAGAGAACAGGCAGAGAGGGAGGGTGGGAGTAGGATTGTGTGGCCTGGAAGCTTCTAGTCATGAACAGG